TATGACGAGCTCCTGGCGTGTTTTCGTTGGCGGGATTTTAATTGAAGCCTATTGTGGTGTATAAACACTTCTCCCCCAAGCTGAAACTCATGTGTATATGTTTACATATATATGAGGGAGTCAGAGTCTTTAAAATTCCAGTTGAAGTCAGTGATTTTCCCTACCGACTTCACAGCCCTGATTAGTACACTGTGCACCATTGAAAATTTTTGAAACTATCCCTCGAATTCTGTCAATAATTCTTCACCTAGATAACCTACTACTAATAAAGCAAACAACTCAGGTCGTGATATATAAATGTTGCTTCGGTTATACATTACATCTGTGGACGAGTAGAAATCTTCAGGAGTTGATGTTAAATCTTGAGTTTGTTTTCAAACACATTCAAATCAAAATTAATGATATAGAAAGAAAAGATACTTGTGATTACTGTAACAATTTACTTCACAAATAGATGTACAAATTTTTAGGGACATTTCAGGCACAAATTTTGGATGTGAAGGTCCTTTGTGACATGGCAGACACCTATATGATCGTTTAGTTCCCGAGTTCTAGCCAGAGAATAATGCCTAACCTGACTGTTAACTACTGGTTCTGTAAAGACAGTCAGATGACTTATCATTTCGCCTTAAAGTTCGAAGTAAAATAACTGTGATTCAGTATTTTCAAATAAATCTTCTTTTTTAATTGCCTGACTCAAGGTCACATAGTCTATATATAAAAACTAAATCTACTCAGCTTGAGGACACATCAGAAAAAAAGTTCAATTAAAATTAAAATATTACATTACATGAAAAAAAGAGCCTACAGATTTTGTTTCAGGCCCAAACTAGCAAACCTTAAGGCTAGCAAAGTAGAGAGGAAATAAGTAACATAGTTGGTAAGACAAGTAACAGCGAGAGGTCAACTATAACTGCCAAAAGATCCCTCCTAAGGAACCTTTGCTTAATACACAAACTATGTGGAAACTGGTAGAAATCGGAAAAGGTAGAAATGAAATTAAAAGAAAAATAAAAAGATAACCTGTTAATAAATATAAAACTCTTTACAGGCGATAATATAGCTTGATCAATAGAGCCAACCGCTGCTTTATTTGCTGTAAGTCCTGTTGAGAAGTGGGCATATGAAAATCTCCTCTTTTAAGTATCCCCAAGAAATAAATTACAAGGTTGTTCGAAGAAAAAAGGATCGCGTTTTGTTAAGGCATAGAAAACGTTTACCTTCAGAAAATTACACATATTTTCCCTCTGTAGCTAAGCAGATTTTCCATTAATAAATATGAAATTATAACCTGTTCCCCTTGCCGCATAAGTGAAACGTGGCTTCATCACAGAACACGAGTCTGTGCACGAAATCATCTACACTAAATTTCATCCATTTAACTTTTGGTCAATTTTTAACACCCTTGCTTCATCAGATTTGTACGACTTGAGCTGCAGAAGCTTGAACAAAACATGCCATAATTTTACTTACTTGTCTCTTGGCATGATGCAAGGGCTTCAAGATTAAGTGAGACAAATCATTTCCACCATTCCATTATTGACTTCTGCTTAGTTGTTGGCCTGGACAAATGTCCGGATGTTGGTGCTTTCTTCTCGCACAAACAACCCCTGCCTTTAAACCATTTCATCTGCTTTTTGACACTGTGACAGTGAGGTGCGTTTCAAGCAAATTTGATTAAAAAATATCCAAAGCCACTATTACTAATAAAGTTTTTGCATGTTCAAACCCACAATGAAATTTTTTCACTGATGCTGCCATTTTTAATATCATTAGAGAAGATGAATTATGAATTTAGCTCCTCTAATGAATCTACTATTTTCCAACAGTGACAGAGTTATAACCTTTTGTTTCACACTTTTATCTGTAAAATAAATTTATTATAGGGATCATAATTTTTTTTTTTTATTATTGTTCATCGTAAATTACCTTATGTTTGTCAAATTATGTTGAGAAAGTGAGCTTCAAGATTCAAGTGTTTACCTATGTCAAAGTTCATCTATGGTAAAGATTGTTTGTATCCTAATAATAAATACAGACCTAAGCAAGGAGAAGGATATTGAGTACAATTAAGTATTTAGCACTTCAGCAAATGCTATGTAATAGTTGACAAATAAAGAGATCTAATGACAGATAATCTTCCATTCAGTTTTAATATATGTGCTCTGTATTCCTTATAGGAAGTTTTATATTAATTTCTTAAAGGCAGGAGAGGTGCATACATTTGTGTCATTTGTAGCTAAAGGTCTGAGGTAAAAGTAAAGATCTACTTGCATTCTTTAGAGAATGGCAATTTAAAGTGATAATTCTCTGAAATGGAGGTATGCATGCCTATGGGGCTGCTTTATAAAATGAAAGATCATAGTTAAAAACGAAACATTTGTGGTGCTAAAATCCAGCACACCTTCACAGTACATTATGTGAAATTTTAAGTGATTAGGGAATGGATAGTAGTACAACATTCCTTTGGATAACTAAGCTCTCATGAAGAATATGCCAGGCATGCAAAATGATTAAAAATGAAGATAAAAAAAATATCAAATAGTTAAAGATTTGTAGTGCAGGCACCAGAACTGGGACAACCAGTTCAGCTGTACTGAAATGCAGAATACAGAGGAGAAACGTTTTAGAAGCACAGTGTGGCAGATAGCATAAGATCGGCTCTAACCTAATGTAATATTTGTGGAGGGCTAAAAAGAAAAGGTTTGTCAAATAACAGTGGGAGGGAAAATCGAACTAAAGTGATTTCCCTATCATTAGTATTTTGACAGAGGTTGTATATTAGAAAAAAGAAATTTGTGTCCCTCATTGCTTGGTGCAACATTATTGAAATGAAGGTCTGAAGATAAAAATGACAGCTTTCTCTCACGAATAACGGTTATTCAGAAAACCTGAATTAAAAATTTGGGCTAGAATTGAAATCAATCCAGTGAAATCCATTCTCTTCACGACCCTAAAAATTTCAACATTCACAATCACTGGTTATGTAAATGATGATCTTAGCCTAGGATTATCAAAGCATTATTGCGAAAGATGTGAAATAGGAAAAAAAAAAAAAAAATGTGTTTCAGGTGCAAAAAGTGTTAACTGCAGCATTTTAGTATGAGTGGTTGCATCAAAAATGTCAAGGAAATTGCATAAAAATGACCTAACATGCTTAAGGACAAGGAATTAACTTCGAAGGACACAAGAGCTCTCACAAGGACAGTGATTTTTGTCCATGAAAGAAGTTTTTTCAGTACTTAGCTTAGCTATTGTCGGAGAGCCGCAGTTTGGACGTGCCCGACATACGGAGTAAAACAAGTTTCAAATAAATTGCAAAACATACATCCTTTCTAAAGAGAGGGAAAAAAAAAAAAAAAAAACATATATACACATGTAAATAATGTACATTATGTTCATAAAATAATGTCCCAGTTTTACATTTCAATTAGTATCAACTGTAAGCATTGTAGTGTTCATTCAAGGTCATAATTAAAGAATAATTCAAACAGTTTTAGATAAGCCATGTGCGCAAGAACTGCTTTGTTGTTTCCTCATTTTCCGCAACATGTATGCAGAATGGCGTCTCCTGAGCATAAAGTGTTTTCTGTTCTGCAATTTGCTAAGACTGAATCTGTAATTTCAGTTCAATGTGCATTTCACTTAAAGTTTAGCTGTGTTCTCCCATAGGGCAAAAACATCTGCTGATGGTATAGGCAATTTGAAATGACCAGATGTGTTTGTAAAGGGAAAAGTGTGGGACAATCAAAAGTGTCTGTATAGGATGTGGACCATGTTAGAGCATCTTACCTTCATATTCCTAAGAAATCTAGTCTTGAACTTCAATTGCCAAAGATGACAGTTTGGAAGGTTTTAAGAAAATGACTGCACATGCGTCCACACCCGTTAGAATTGGTACATGCTTGCAAGATGACAATGGTATAAGTTTTGAAGTGAAGTGTACAAATGCGAAAATGACTTTCTCGATCATGTGGTGTTTAGTGATGAATCAACTTTTCATCTGAGTAGGAAGGTACCATAATGCTTGTATCTGGGGTCAGAACATCTTCATGAACTTGTTGAAACCTAAGAGATTCCTCCAACTTGAATGTTGCCTATGCGCTATGCCCCAACGTCAAGTGCATAGACCATTTTGTTTTACTGCAATTATTGTAACACGGGTGGCTTATCTGGATATGTTACAAGAATGGCTCTTTCCCCAATTAGTAGAAGGTAAATCTGTAAACTTTATTTACAACAAGATGGAGCCCCTTTCTATTGTAATGTCTTTGTATGAGACTGGTTGAATGTTGAAGTCCCTGACTGTTGGATTGGTATTCTCGTCAAGACGACAGAGCTCTTTTACACTGCCTCCACATTTACCCGATTATTCCTACCATGCGATTTTCTCCTTTGGGACTCTATGAAGGACTGTACCTACATTTCGTTACTACCTAATGATTTGTCAGAGTTGAGACACAGAATTGAAGATGCTATTGCTTCCAGAGTAGGACTTGTTAACCAATATGTGGGAAAAATTGGATTATAGGCTGGATGTGTGCCGTATAACTAAAGATGCACATATTGAATATTTGTTAGAAAAACTAGTTTATATCCGGTTTGAGGTATAATTTCTTGTAAACAGTCTAAATTAAACTGTGATAATATACCCTTGAAACTGGAACATTCTTTTATGCATACCTTATATTTTCACAACTTTGGCAGTATATATATTCAGGGACTGATACTTTTCGAGGAGATTCAAATCAAATTTGTAATATCAAACAAATAATATATTAAATTACACTATTTTTTATTTTTTAAAAAGCTTTTATTTACAATATCAAATATAAAAAGCATAAAAAATGTAGTTATATTTTTAAAAATATAGTTTTTTTTTTTCAAAAATGCAACAAATAACAGTTTTTGAAAGTTTAGAATAAATTTATGCTTTTGTTTACAAAATACTGTGTCCTGAAACTGAATTTAAATACAAAAACAATGAATATTTACAATGATGAGTTTTAAAATGATATTTTTATTTCTGAAAGATATGCAGCCTCCACTGACCACCACATGGGCAGAATCGAAGCCAACGTTGATCCCAAGCTCTAGTTGCTGCAGATCTTGCACCAGCTTTAAGCATTGAAGAACTGTGACACCTACAAGTAATATAAGTCATTTTTTAAGAATTCAGAATGAAATAAGCCAGTGGTATCAAACTGGCAGCTTCCGAAGGAATTACATGTGGCCCACAAATACTGTTCAGTTATGTGTTTGTTGCAAATATGATGTTGCAAAAATTTGAAGTTTTTAATTACTCTGAGTTTACATTATTAAGGGAGTTTACATTACTGAGTTTACATTATTATGTGTATCATCATGAAAAACTAATGTAAATAACACATCAGAAAATCGATAAATTGAGCTAATTAATTTACAGTGTGACCTAAATCTTATTCAAAGAATTGAAGATACAGATTTGATTATATTTTTATTCATATTTCTCAAAATATAAATACGCTCAATTATGAATTTTTGCACTAAGAATAATCACTTTATTTGGGAATGCATTTATTTGTGAACAGCTTTTTATCACATTTGAAAATTAATAAGAAAAGAATCCAACTGACCTATGTGCATATACAGACCACGATAATATAACTTCTAGTACATTTTCTCCAGTTTATAGATATCAACCAAACAAATTTTTTATATGAAATTTATAACCATTTGTATACAAACATCTGTATTTTAATTTATGTGTCGAAAAAATTTTTTCCCACTTGGAAAGTTTTTTCTAAAAACTTTGAAGATCTTCATAATTTATTTAATTTAATTTAAAGTAATTAATTAAGCAGGTTAGAATTATTTGAAAAAAAAAGGTCTGTCATTAAATTTAATATTTAGCTGTCAATATTTTAGCAACATTTTCAGCAGCACCTGTAGAAACAGAAGAACACATGTAAACAGACTTTTATCTAATTGCATAATATCGTCTAACAGTTTATGTGTTGCTTTGGGTTCGGTTTACCTCAGGTCATACTGTATATGTCAAAAACAAAATTATTAAACTGAAAATCTATATAGTACTTACAGAACTGAAGATCTCAACTTTGTAACAATATTAAAATTTTATGGCATTAGAAGTATATGAATATTTATCTTTTCTATAATTTTTTCGATATTTATTATGTATTCAAAAATGTTTTTTCTGAAATTTCTTCAAATTAAGATAATCGACACTTTCTGAGAAATATCTATTTTCTCTCCTTAACCATTATTTAGATTTAAAAAATATGTTGAAGTATATTTGAAAAGTTTTATACAGTCATTACAACCTATATAAATATATCAGCACACTAATAAATTATGTTTAGGGCTTAGATATCTTACAGATTTCCTCTTTCAGTTTCTGAAATATGAATAATTTCTGATCAAATCAAGCATTTTTACTTCCATGTACAAAGTAAAGGAACTATTGTAAATGCAAAAAATTTCAAGTATCATATTCCAACAAAAATATCTCTTTTAACTGCTTTCGAATCCATTTGAATGATGTTTTTATGTGACATCTGTACATATGGACAGAATAAAAAATGCTTTTTTTCAAAACAGATTGTAAAATGGATACAGAAGAGGTGTTTTTTTTTTTTTTTTTTTTTATTAAGTCTGTACATCCATACATACTTATGCATTTATCTTACATAACCACAAAACAAGTAGCCATAGATCATTGAAATTTTGTACATGGGACTACTATAATATTTATTGCAGTTGTGCCCTCACTTTTCTGTAGCAATTGGCCACACCAAACATATATAAATATTATATATATATATATTTCCACTTTGGTATCCGGCTCAGTGAGCCCAATTTTTCTATTTTTATATGTTGGTAAACTGTGCAGTTTTTTGCGTTGAAAGGGACTGAATTATGTTGCTTTTATATTCAGATTACGGTCTTTGTTAAGTGGCGCTAGGCCTAATGCTCGCAATTTGTTTACACTTGAAACTCTTACAGTGAATTAAGTATGCTGGTGCTTTTTTGCCCAGTGGGACTATAAGTTGACTTTAAGTTTTGTGCACTAAAATTTTGTCTTTCTGCTTACTTGCTGAATTACTTGTTTTTGTATATAAATTCTAATTTTATTTGTAACAATTTTTTTAACTGTTTTCAACCATATTTGGTGTTTTAGTTTTTCTGTACTTCACAATTTTTAATGGAGCTATTTTGAGATTTTATGTATTTTTGCTTTGCTGCAAACTGAATTAATTAAATGAGAAAGATATCCGTAATGAATTTCAAGGAAATATGTTTAACTCTCTGAGCAGCATGGATTTTTGGATCCGTAACGAAGACCTGTTTTTAAACAGCATTTATTAGCTGAATTTGTGTAATTACTTATTCTCTATATTTAGATGATATTTACATTATTAAAGAAAATAAGAAAGCAAATATCTCAAATTATAAGCTAATACATGTCAAATAACAAAAAAGCTGATGACCAGATAAAGACAGTCATGGTGCTCAGAGGGTTAAATGAAGTGCAGCGAAAAAAAATGTGTATAATTTATTAGGCTATACAAGGAAGTCATGTGGTGTCCCCATCAGATATTTCTGCATCCTTATCAAAAGTTAGAATAATTTATGGAAAATACATGGAATTCTCTAATGAATTAGAAAATAGCTAATTTGAAAAATTTATGGAATGCTTTCATATCAAATAATTACTGAATGCGCCTTCCAGTTGTTATTTACCATACCAAATTCTGGGAACTTCCTTTTTATTAGGACCCCATTTTGTAAATGTCACCAAAATTAATGACATATCTCTTATTCTGATATTAAATATATATTCAAAATATCATATCTTCTAATTGTTTATCAAGTACAAATTATGTAAAAACAGAAGATTGGAATATGGTAAAAGTATTTTATGGAACTACTTTACTGAAAGCTTAAATAACTCAAACATTAAATAAAACAAAATTATAAGCTGCATTAATCTTTGGATGATGTTGCCTAGCCGAAAGTGGTTAGTGACCCTGAATGCCGTACTGAAGGGCCCGGTTCGAATCCTAGAGAAATTGTCTGTCCCTTCATAGGAGACAATGGTGGTCCACCTTTTAGCCACCTCCATAATAAAGTGACCATCGTTTCTGGATTTAATAGTGGCTAATACCTATAATGGCTAGTGCTTGCCATTGTTGGGGGGGGATATTTGTATTTTTAGATTATGGCAAAATATCATGGGCTATTTTCTTAAGGGATGCTTTCATAGTAGATTTTTAAAGAGAAACTGTCTTGTATTCACATTAAAATGGGAGAAACCATGAACACTCATGATGAAGCTAGCCCATTCAACGAGACTTGAAGCTGGACTGAACTATCAGTATACCTTCTGATTTTACTGCTTGGTAGGTAGGTTCATGGTAGGTAGGCCTCGATCATAATCACGCTTTTAATATAATATATATGAAAACTGCACATTGATTGCAACTCAATATTTTTTTTCACTTTCTTCAGTAAACTGGCCCAAACATAATTGATGACTTATTCAATTATAAGAGGTAAAATGACAGCAAAATTTTTAGACATAATGAAATTGTAATAAAAAATTATTCCTAAACAAAGTAACTTTGATAATTCAAAATTTTAAAAACAAAATCTTATTTATCACATAGGATATTCATAAACTCAGAAAGCCTTAACCTGAAAAATAAATTATTGCATTAAGTGTAAAAAAAATTATTTACCATACCAAATTCTGGGAACTTCCTTTTTATTAGGACCCCATTTTGTAAATGTCACCAAAATTAATGACATATCTCTAACATAGAGTCATCTAAAAATGGCCAGCAGTCCTAACAATGATCATTATAGTTTTCTCAAGATGAGCAGAATGCTGAGTAATTTATATGTTATCATATTTCCTTTTCTTGCATGAATGTTAACAATTCATGATTACTTATGAGAAGAGTTTTGAATGTTCTGTCTTGAAAAGTGAGGATGATACTATATCTTTCCTCCATGAAAGCTGCATTTGACCTTGCATTCAAATATGCAAAAATGACAATTCAGTGAGTGAAGATGATACTATATCTTTTCTCCATGAAAGCTGCATTTGATCTTGCATTCAAATATGCAAAAATGACAATTAAATAAAACTACATATTAATGAAATCATTTGGAGGTATAACATGAAAAGTCACAAGTGAAGGAAAAGCATATGTTTTGATAACTAGTTCAGTGTTTCAGAACACTGCAACAGTATAGCAATTTATTTACTATTGAGCAGATGAACTGACATCCATTAAGTAGTGGAAACTGTAACTCAGATTTTATGAAAACAAGAAGTATTGACTGAAACAGTTTTATGGGAAAAGATATTGTCATCAGTTTATACAGGCAACAATCAAGTCAGCAGGATTCATTCAGAATATATTTGGAAGATTATGCCACGAAACTAGAGAATTCTTTGTTTTTCTGGTTCTGAAGTAAGCGGCAAATATATGGAAGGAAAATTCATAAATTGTGTACAAGAGGAATCAAAGATTTATTTACACAATTAGTGAACATATAAAACCGAGGAGATTAAAAAAGCAGGTGAGATATTTTACTGTGAACAATGAATCTCATTTTGTTTGTCTCATGCACAAAATATAGAAAGACTGTGGTGCTCTGCTAAGAGGCAGAATAAAAATCAGTGAGACATAGTTTGCTATCATCATGAGTGACAACTTTCAGAGTTAATATGGTGAAAGTGCTTGGGATGAAAAAGTCACTTTAATAATGCAATATTAAAAGTAATTATTGGAAACACTGCAACCACAGAGTATACATGAACCAAAAACCTAGAGATAATCCTGGTGGTGCTAATGTAGCATTTAAAAAAACAAAAGCCTTAATAATAAGGAAGTACCAAATTCTTCAGTTTAGAACATTAACTCATAAAAGTTGTGAACGTATGATTTTGAAGGGACTATAAATACTCAAATTTTTGACTTTTTTCAGTACCCATATTTTTTTTCTTTTTTTATTACTAAAGGAAAGAGTATACAGGAATAATCTAAGCATTGTGGAAGACCTATACTTCATTAAACATGTACAACGTATGATGTGAATATTACAGTGATAGTGGCCTCCAATAAACATTAAATTTTCTTCCATCCCACAATGTGGCTAGCCATTTCAGCCCTAATTGCAGTATCATGACAAAGTACAGGGTTCCAACAAACACTAATCATAAACTTTTTTATTCAACATACAATAATGCATTAGGTATGCAAATTTAGGATATGCAATAACAAGTAAACAACAGGGTACTACTGAAGTTAGAAGCCACTACTACTAAGATAACTTTTGGAGTTAGGGTTAGAAGACAAGTTGCAACCCCATATGCAGAAATTCTCAAACATTACATAGTTTTTGAAGATCTAGGTCTTACATGCTTGCCAGATTATTTTTGTATGCTCTAGCTTTTAATTTATCTTTTAATTTTATTTATTCTCTAGCGTTACTAAGTAGAATGCAAATAATGCATAAAGTGCATTTTGTATAAAAGTTTATGAAACGATAACATTATCTGATATTCCCATTTAAGAATCTGTGAAACTTGATACTTGAAATAATGCATCCTTAATTATAACATGTCAGTTTAAAACACAAGTCATACAGCTTACCTTGTACATTGACGCACTAGAGAAGGATTGCGTCCCAAACTCACATGTCTTACAATATCTGTTTTATGAATTTGTGGAATAGTTCCTTCAATAATATGCACTTTGCTGTTATAACGCAAAAATTCAGGTTGAGAATGGTATTCAAATTGTAAAGGCAATGAATTCATAAAAAGAGCTGGGCTTGCAACACCTAGAAAGGAAAAGAGTAATGATCTGCTATAATGTTAGAACATTTAAAAACATAAAAAGACTACAAAATATAAAGAAAGATATATATTCATACTGCAAAGCATACTAATTATTCTGATATTAAATATATATTCAAAATATCATATCTTCTAATTGTTTATCAAGTACAAATTATGTAAAAACAGAAGATTGGAATATGGTAAAAGTATTTTATGGAACTACTTTACTGAAAGCTTAAATAACTCAAACATTAAATAAAACAAAATTATAAGCTGCATTAATCTTTGGATGATGTTGCCTAGCCGAAAGTGGTTAGTGACCCTGAATGCCGTACTGAAGGGCCCGGTTTCGAATCCTAGAGAAATTGTCTGTCCCTTCATAGGAGACAATGGTGGTCCACCTTTTAGCCACCTCCATAATAAAGTGACCATCGTTTCTGGATTTAATAGTGGCTAATACCTATAATGGCTAGTGCTTGCCATTGTTGGGGGGGATATTTGTATTATTTAGATTATGGCAAAATATCATGGGCTATTTTCTTAAGGGATGCTTTCATAGTAGATTTTTAAAGAGAAACTGTCTTGTATTCACATTAAAATGGGAGAAACCATGAACACTCATGATGAAGCTAGCCCATTCAACGAGACTTGAAGCTGGACTGAACTATCAGTATACCTTCTGATTTTACTGCTTGGTAGGTAGGTTCATGGTAGGTAGGCCTCGATCATAATCACGCTTTTAATATAATATATATGAAAACTGCACATTGATTGCAACTCAATATTTTTTTTCACTTTCTTCAGTAAACTGGCCCAAACATAATTGATGACTTATTCAATTATAAGAGGTAAAATGACAGCAAAATTTTTAGACATAATGAAATTGTAATAAAAAATTATTCCTAAACAAAGTAACTTTGATAATTCAAAATTTTAAAAAAAACAAAATCTTATTTATCACATAGGATATTCATAAACTCAGAAAGCCTTAACCTGAAAAATAAATTATTTGCATTAAGTGTAAAAAAAATTATTTACCATACCAAATTCTGGGAACTTCCTTTTTATTAGGACCCCATTTTGTAAATGTCACCAAAATTAATGACATATCTCTAACATAGAGTCATCTAAAAATGGCCAGCAGTCCTAACAATGATCATTATAGTTTTCTCAAGATGAGCAGAATGCTGAGTAATTTATATGTTATCATATTTCCTTTTCTTGCATGAATGTTAACAATTCATGATTTACTTATGAGAAGAGTTTTGAATGTTCTGTCTTGAAAAGTGAGGATGATACTATATCTTTCCTCCATGAAAGCTGCATTTGACCTTGCATTCAAATATGCAAAAATGACAATTCAGTGAGTGAAGATGATACTATATCTTTTCTCCATGAAAGCTGCATTTGATCTTGCATTCAAATATGCAAAAATGACAATTAAATAAAACTACATATTAATGAAATCATTTGGAGGTATAACATGAAAAGTCACAAGTGAAGGAAAAGCATATGTTTTGATAACTAGTTTCAGTGTTTCAGAACACTGCAACAGTATAGCAATTTATTTACTATTGAGCAGATGAACTGACATCCATTAAGTAGTGGAAACTGTAACTCAGATTTATATGAAAACAAGAAGTATTGACTGAAACAGTTTTTATGGGAAAAGATATTGTCATCAGTTTATACAGGCAACAATCAAGTCAGCAGGATTCATTCAGAATATATTTGGAAGATTATGCCACGAAACTAGAGAATTCTTTGTTTTTCTGGTTCTGAAGTAAGCGGCAAATATATGGAAGGAAAATTCATAAATTGTGTACAAGAGGAATCAAAGATTTATTTACACAATTAGTGAACATATAAAACCGAGGAGATTAAAAAAGCAGGTGAGATATTTTACTGTGAACAATGAATCTCATTTTGTTTGTCTCATGCACAAAATATAGAAAGACTGTGGTGCTCTGCTAAGAGGCAGAATAAAAATCAGTGAGACATAGTTTGCTATCATCATGAGTGACAACTTTCAGAGTTAATATGGTGAAAGTGCTTGGGATGAAAAAGTCACTTTAATGCAATATTAAAAGTAATTATTGGAAACACTGCAACCACAGAGTATACATGAACCAAAACCTAGAGATAATCCTGGTGGTGCTAATGTAGCATTTAAAAAACAAAAGCCTTAATAATAAGGAAGTACCAAATTCTTCAGTTTAGAACATTAACTCATAAAAGTTGTGAACGTATGATTTTGAAGGGACTATAAATACTCAAATTTTTGACTTTTTCAGTACCCATATTTTTTTTCTTTTTTATTACTTAAAGGAAAGAGTATACAGGAATAATCTAAGCATTGTGGAAGACCTATACTTCATTAAACATGTACAACGTATGATGTGAATATTACAGTGATAGTGGCCTCCAATAAACATTAAATTTTCTTCCATCCCACAATGTGGCTAGCCATTTCAGCCCTAATTGCAGTATCATGACAAAGTACAGGGTTCCAACAAACACTAATCATAAACTTTTTTATTCAACATACAATAATGCATTAGGTATGCAAAATTAGGATATGCAATAACAAGTAAACAACAGGGTACTACTGAAGTTAGAAGCCACTACTACTAAGATAACTTTTGGAGTTAGGGTTAGAAGACAAGTTGCAACCCCATATGCAGAAATTCTCAAACATTACATAGTTTTTGAAGCTCTAGGTCTTACATGCTTGCCAGATTATTTTTGTATGCTCTAGCTTTTAATTTATCTTCCAGAGAAAAACGTTTCAGAGATGGAAATATCCAAATACAAAAGTTAAAATAATCTAAGTGGCCATGGTCTCTTTGAAATAATAATAATTGCTTTATTATAGAATAAGCATTTGAAGATAACCCTTCAACATGAAAATTACCCTTTATCTTATGCAAACAGTTTATTTTTGAAATTCGCTTTCCAGACTTTTTCTATGTAATAAATGAAAACTAATAAAGAAGAAATTCAAACACATAAAAATAAAACATAAGTATACTGATAAATGGAACGTACCTAAGGCTTGAGTACCAAGTTCAATTGTAGGCACAAGTACTTGATTTGGGAGTAAACTGCATTCATCTAAAAATTTATATATATATAATACTCCAAATATGACCACAAGAAGGTTTGATTCAAATTATAAAATTAGACAAATTAATATAGAAAAAGTGTATAATACCTAACAATGTATCATCTGGTTCTGATCCATGTGTAAGAAGAGTTTTTGTTAGAAGTTTGAATAACAGAGAAAGAATGTCCAGATTATCTGCAATAATTTTAATAAAAGTTTTATTATACTGGCAGATTTGTAATTAAATAAACAAATAAGCTTTTGGTATTTATTTTGTATTTGGTATTTGCAGGATCATTATTTTTCATATCAATGTTTAAAATATAATTAAAAGGAAAAATTAAAGTTATTAGGCACACCAAATTCAATATATTTTTCAAATACTTCAAAATATCTATTTATACGTGTTTCAAGAATGATTTCAAAGTTCAGGAACGCTTGGCTATTCATACATCCTCTCTGCTCTGTATTGGGAATAAAACTTGTAAATTGACATATGCAGCTATTTGCTTTCACATATGCAGGAACATTAGAAGTAATGCTCATGTGTGTTTACTGATTATTACGTATTTCCACCGTCATTCTGACTAGAGGGCGCTGCGTTCGTCCTAATAGTCAGTGGCAGGCAGGATACTAAAGGTGTAGGACATGGAAGGCAGAGATGCCTAATAATATATCTCTAATTGATTGAAATTTTCGTATATTTTCTTGTAAATAAATGTTGTTATTGTTAACAAAACCTCGTATTATCTCTTGGATGCGCCTTTAGTCTCACAGAACCATTAGATGCAAAATTGGTGCATCTTGTCCGCGAATGTGGAATACCGGAAGTAATTAGTCATCATTACTGGATTATATTTCTGAGAAGTTTGGATACTTTATGTACGCTTTTGGATACGTAACATTGCATACTGGACTGTGGAGGTAAGACCTTTTGAACTCACATATTCGGAGTTAATATGGATAAGCTTTCGAAAATAATTGAAAAAAGAAACGTTCGCGCTAGTGTTACTAAACTAGTTAAAAGAGTGCAGAAGCTTGATGAAGCCGTCGAAGACGTAAGTTCATTATCAGAACTACTGGAACTATTAGAAACGAAGGAGCAGATCTTGAAAAGCCATGATTTAGAGGTGGAAGCACTCATAGACGATCCGGAAAATTTAAAGGTGAATTAAAAGCTTCGGAGGAATACGATGACAAAATATTGCTAGCTAAGATTAAACTAAAAAGCAAAATTAAAGAATTAGCAGCAGAAAATGTTCAGCGGACTTCTTCAGTTCTTAACACATCCAGTGTTTCGGAAAACACCGTTACGGCTTTAAAATTACCAAAGTTAGAAATTTCGCGATTCTCTGGTGATTCTGGCAAATTTATGGAATTCTTAAACTGTTTTGATAGCGCAATCGGTTCAAACAATTCACTTACGAAAATTGAAAAATTCCAATATTTAAAATCTCTTCTTTCTGGTCCTGCATATAACGTAGTTGCGAGTTTTGAATTGAATGAGAAAAACTATGACTCATGTCTTGAGCTTTTAAAACAAAGATATGGTAGAACTGATTCTATTATAAATTCTTACATGACTAAATTATTAAGCTTAGAACCCGTGAGAAGTTCGTCTAATGTTAAGGGTTTGCGTAAATTATACGATGAAATAGAAGTTAATATAAGAAATTTGCGTTCATTAAATGTAACGGAGGGTTCATATGGGCATTTATTGAATCCAGTATTATTGAAGTTGCTACCACAAGATTTGGTGTTAGATTTTCACCGAAAATGAAACAGGGAAGTGAATTGTGAGGTTTCGGAAATTATTACGTTTTTGAGGAATGAAGTCGAATCTAGGGAAATTGCCGAAACTGTGATGAGCCCCCTAAAAAGTTACGAAACAAAACGATCCTTTTCCCAAAATTATCAAAGTGGTCAAACTTATCAGAAAAACTATTCAAAGCCTAAAAATATATCAACCGCTTCAGCGTTAAATACACAAATAAAAAATGCTTGTTTATTCTGTGACGGTCATCACAATTCCATAAGTTGTAAAAAATTGGATGTAGAACAAAAAATAAATAAGCTTAGGACTGAAGCTAGATGCTGGTGTTGTTTCCAGAAATACCACGTGTCTCGTGTATGCAGGGCAAAAATATCGTGTAAAAATTGTTTAAGCAATTTTCATCATGAGTCTGTGTGTAGAAAAGATAAACCCGTTAATGTTAAAACGAGAGGTTGTGAGAAGCAAGTGGAAGGCGAAACTGTTTTGAATGACTCACAATCTAAATCTAATAAAAGCACCGAGAATATTTCTGTGTTTCATAGTAATATATGTACCAAAAATAAGCCCTTTTTACAAACATGTACAGTTTTAGCCTGTTCGGATAAAAATTCAGTCTTAACTAATGTTATTTTAGACAATGGTAGTCATCGAAGTTTTATCTCATCTCGATTAGTTAAAGAATTAAAATTAAAGCCAATACGCTACGAAAGAATAGCTATTTTTGCTTTCGGAGACAAAATAGCACGTGAGAAGGAATACGGTATCGTTTCATTGACATTGCGCAATAGGGATCAAAGTTCGAAATTGTACGAGTTAGAAGCTGTCATAACGGAATTATATATCTAATTTGTCCTTGAAAATTCCTGATGTATCTATTCGCAATGCGTTGAAGGAAAGAGGTTTACCTTTGGCTGATTCATTTTCTGGCGACTGTCAGACGGAAATACTTATCGGATGCGATTCATTTTGGGATGTTGTTTATGACGAGAGAGTAAAGTTAAATGAAAACATTACTGCGATAAATTCTTGTTTCGGTTGGTTACTTGCGGGAGTGAAAGGAAGTAATAAATTGACTAATAATTATGAAAATGTATGTTTAGTCATGGACTCTTCTTCCATTTTGTGCGATTTGAAAAAATTTTGGGAAATAGAAGAATTTCAGTCAGACAAACAAAACTTTTCTGAATGGGACAAGCAATTGATTGAAGATTTGAAAATTCTCTGGAATTTAATGGGGAAAGGTACGTTTGTAGATTGATGTGGAAGGAAAACTTAGGACCTGCAGTTGGGTTGAATTCTAATTATGAGGTTACGAAAAGGCGTTTTGATTCGTTAAAGCACAAACTAAATAAAAATCAGGAAATTTATGACCAGTAAAAACAAATTATATCGGATCAGTTAGAATGTCAGATTATGGGAAAATGTGTTAATGAAGATAAAAATTCAGGATATTATATGCCCCACAGAGCGGTAATTAGGGATGACAAGGAAACAACTCGAGTTAGAATTGTTTATGACTGTAGCAGTAAGGCTAATGAAAATAATAAATCTCTTAATGAATCTCTAGAATCGGGAGTAAATCTTTATGCAAATTTATTGGACATAATTCTTAAATTTCGAGAATATCAAGTTGCATTTTGCGGAGATTTAGAGAAAGCTTTTCTTATGATAGAGATTGCGGAGGAAGATAGAAAATACCTTAAATTTTTGTGGTTTCCCGAAGAGGTAGGTGATTCAACCGAAACCATAGACTCCAACCTTCAGCAAACCTTGTCAGTAGTCAACGCGCGAACGACATTTTTACAACTTTGAAAATGTGCGCGTAGCGTATGTTGTAATTAACCATTCATTAATTTTAAATTAATAATTAATTGTAATCAATTTTATTACATTTAAAATCCATATACATATAAAACTGAATAATTAAAAATATACCTTGTAAATTATATGCACATTTAATTAGAAATTTTCTTTTAACTCCTCAAGCATTCACTAATAAAAAGTACTTCAAATCACTACTAATCATAGAAAAATCAGAAGCTATAAATCATATCTTTATTCTGGATATGATTTCTACAGGGAAATAAAATTTAAATAACCAAGAATGATACATATAAGTATTAAACAAAATACGCATAATTTATGAATGCAAAGATTTATATGTAGCATGCTTAGCAAGGTTAAGTTCTGATTTTGAGAATGTTTTTTTATAACACAGTTCTTCATTTGCCTGCATATTTATTTTTTCAATCAAAACTGCTTCAAGAGTTTTAAGACCTAAATTTGGTCGAAATTCCGTCTGATTTTTTTTAACAATAGAAAAAATTCTTTCGCAAGCTGCATTTGAATGAGGTATTATTAAGACAGCAAGCATTACAGAAGGCAATACTTTGTATTTAATACACCCATTCATATTTTTTAATTTGGCAACTTCTCCACATGCTATATCAATACGCAAATCTACAATTTCTTTCAAATCATCTACTTGATACATGGAAAATTCAATTTCTACTTGATTAAGACATTTTTCATCAATAATGGATGGAAAAGTATTCATCAAGTAAAGAACAGATGAAAATGAGACTTCAGTTCTCAAGTTGATGTCAGCAACTTCAGCATGTTTTAGAAATGGATCACTCAGTGGAAATTTATCAATTATATATGAACATGCAGTTACAAAAAAAAGCTCGCACAGAATTGAAAAATGATTTCACTTCACTTTCATTCAACTTGGCATTTTTTAAATATAGTCTTGTTTCCGCACCAATCACTAAATTTTCATTTTCTTTTTGTTTACTATACTTCTGAAATGGAATAGACGTTAGAGTAACATCTTCATTTTCTTTAGAAATTACTGATGGTTTTACGAATCTAACAAATAAATTCATTAAAAGTTCAAAAAGTTCTCTTCTCAATTTATGTATATAAGGAGCTTGTTGTTGCAAATTAATATTTACTGTTATAAACAAAGGCAAAGTATTTTTCAAAAATAACAAGTACAATATGGTGGTCGGTGACTGTAAAATTTTTTTAATGTTTTGCAATCTCTTTCCTTCATTCTCACTGTTATCTGGTTTATCTCCAAAAAAATTATCACAGCATCCCACTGTTCCAAAATCCTTGTTATAGATTCTAAAAGAGACAACCATCTCGTACTGCAATATTTCAAAATTTTATGAGATTTTGCATTCTGTCCCAAAATTTGTTGAGCAACTTTGAAGCTATGCTTCTGTTTCGAACTTTTCTCCAAGTAAAAATATATATCTATTATCAACATTTCAATTTCTGAGCCAATTAATTTTTCAGTAGCTTTTTTTGCAGCTATATGCAAGAGGTGGCACGGACAACCTCGGGTGATTATACTTGGTTGATGCATTTTGATAAATGATGCTACACCTTTAAACTTTCCAATCATATTACT